GGAGGAATTGTGACAAATCAAAGAGGAGCCAAACTGGTTTCCGATTGCAAAAGTGAAACTGAAATTAAAAGGGGCTTATTAGCAATGTGAAACAGTCTACAAACTCGCTCAATACTAACCTTGTTTGGAAGCTTAAGCTTCTTGAACTTTCTTCGGTCGGCCTCGACCTCGCTTTACTGGAGCAACAGTGTCTCCAGTGGCAGCGTCAGCGTGTTCGACGACGGTATCGGTATTGTCTGTAGTGTCCACAACCTTCTTAGGGCGACCTCGCTTTTTGGCTGGTTCCTTTGACTGAGCGGCAGTAGCCTTCTTCGGCGGGCGACCACGTTTCTTTGGAGTATTTGCCGGGCGTCCACGTTTCTTTGGCGAATGTGACTGTGGCTCACCATCCGACTCCTCCGGGTCCGTAACTTCGTCCTGGCCGACAGTGCTGGTGACAGCGGTTTCATCAGAGCGGTAAAACTGGGCAGCTGAAATGACGGCAGGAACGTCGTCGATGGAGCCATTTTCGGCTTCAACGGGATCGGCCGGCTTGATCACAGTGGCACTCTTCGGCGGGCGTCCACGCTTCTTGGCTGGGACAACGGGCGAAACTGCGTTTCCATTCACCTTAGCAGGGCTCTTTTTGCTTGCGGAATTGCTGATGACCGGGCTAGTGACAAGCGGTCCATTGCCGTTAGATTGGTTTGATGGAACAACCGCATCAGAATTCAAGGCAGAAGTGCCATTTTCAGCCGACTTGACAGCATTGGCATTCTTCGGCGGGCGTCCGCGTTTCTTTTTCGGGACAATGGGCTTAGCAACAGAAGAGGCGCCATTCAGCTCAGCGGGATTCAGTGAGTCCATCGCGTCGAGTGAAGCTTCGGCGAGACCTGGACTACTTCTAAATGGCGAAAAAATGGTTGATATCGCTGATTTGAACATAAGCTCACAAATCAAGCGCTGCGTTTCATTGATCCGAGAGAGACCGCGAACGAGAGCACAATGTGCTTGCTGTCAGAATCGCTGGCAATGCGTTCACTGCAGTGGCGCGCAGCTGCCTCTCAAATTCAGCGCTCACTCTGTGCGTTGAGGGCAAAGTTGGGTTTTTGAGTGCGGACAATCTTTTCGCCTCTACTCAGCGCCATAGTTGGCGTGTTCAGAAAATCGTTACACAAAAAAAGGCGCGGAACACTATCGCCGTCTGGTGTGGAGAAAGCTATTTTTGTTTTAATTTGGCTCTGATTTTTTATTTAGTAAAGTGAATCACCTCCTCAGACCGAGAGTCTTCCTAGCCTTGTCGATCATCAAGTCGGCCTCCTGGTAGATCACCGGAAAGAAGGGATGCTGACCGATGGCCCAAATGTCCAGTCGCTTTGGTTCATCAGGCTCCAGAAGCTTGCTGATGAGGTCCTTGATGTCAGTGCTTAGCTTTGGTTCAATGTCCCTTCGCAAGTGATATTCTCGGGTCATTTGCTTAGCGTACATCACATTTGGGCCTTCCTTGCGGTTGAACGGATAGTCCTGATTTACCAGAATAAAGAGCATTACTCCTAGCGCCCAAATGTCAGACTTGTATACGTTATATGGAATCTTCTTGAGAATCTGAGGAGACTGGTGACTTCGAGTGCCGCTAGTGGTAAAATATTGTCAGCTTTATGCTGCACGTTCTAAATACACTGTTACCAGAACGATCTATTCAGCTGTAACTGTCCATCGGCATCGTAGGTAATGTAGGTGCTCAGTCCAAAGTCGGCCACGATTGGATTGTCAAAGTCGTCGAGCAGTACATTGTCAAGCTTCAGGTCACTACAACAGCGATAAAATTGAATCTGAAGTGGAGTTTTATCAGGTGACCACTGTTTTCGGCGACTTACCGGTGAGCTACTCTGTTGTCGTGCAGGTACCTGACTGCTCGAACAATGTCACAAAACCACGACTTGGCGTTCCACTCGCAGCGAGGACCGCTCTTTCGCACCAGTGCGCCAATGCTGCCCTTGCACTGCGGCATCACTGGAAGTTAATGTGTAAAAGTGCTATAATTGTATTCTTTACCGAAAAGCAACACTTGAGTACCAGTGTAGACTTTGGATTTGGTGCGAAAAATCTCCCAAATGGCCATGCAGTTAGGGTGCTTTAGGCGACTGGTGATCTCCACCTCTCGGCGAAGGTCTCGGTCTAGCTTGCCAAAGTCGTCGACGTTTTTCACTTCGGTCACCTTGATGGCGCATGGTTTGCCATTTTTGAGCGCCTTGTACACGTTCGCCTGTCCACCCGAGTCCAGTGACTGAAGTGGTGCACAGACACAGGAACAACATTAACATCGCTCTTTCTCTATTGATACCACCTTTACCTGTAAGTGTTCATAACCACGCGCCAGTAGCGTTTCCATTACTGCATGACAAATTGTACTGAACAGTTTGAATAGTTTATATAAAAGTCTACTTTTCCAAGAAGCGAATAGATAGAATTTAGAGCAATTTTCCATTCAGTAGTAATGACAGCTTGTGAATGGGCAACAATTGTTGCTATATAATGCGCAACTACGCGTAACCCGGAATGGAATAGCTCGCAAGTGGAGTTGGAGAACACTATAGAAGGAGGACTCAAATGAGAAGAAAAGAGCTAAGACTACAACTCTTGTTATGATTACTTTAGGAGTGAGCTAGGAATCGGCAAACTTTTTCTTGCTCTGCTACCTCAGTCATTCGACTGACAGCTACTAGTTGCTTCACAGTGCCTGGAAAAACATTCGATGCGCAGCAAAATGGCTCATCCCAAACAACAGTTTTACGGTCATTTTGCCACACCATCAAAATTATCCACAACTACTACCACCACCACTTTTGCATTGCCTTTTCAGGCTGACCAAAATGAAGAGCCACTGGATCTGAGAACAAAAGCAAATAACTCGCAATATGCAGTTAAACCCTCAAAAGTTTTGAATAAGAGCAATCCGCTCAAAACTAAAACCGACTCGCAATCATCATTTACAAAAGCGCCCAAATGTCCTTTGCAAGTCCGACGACCCAAACGGCAATCGGCACTAAATGCCACGCAGCTAATTGCGTTTGAATGCCTGAACGGGGAAGCAAGCAGCGAATCACCAACTAAATATCCAGACATTTTTAAGGGTAAATTTGAATTGCCAACTCACGAGACAGCAACTAATCACCTGGCAAATGTTAACGAACATATTCACACAGTGCCGAATGAATCACCGAAAAGTGAGAGTGAATGTCTGAGTGAAGAGCAGCAGCAACCTCGGCAAGGCACAGTGGTGCACGCACTGTCTTCGGTGCGTATCCAGGAGACGGATGGTAGTAGGCGACTGGCCGGCGAACGAGGCCGTAAACTGGCAGGACGACAGTTCAACTGCGACCTGTGCAGTGGCTCATTTAGAACCCGACAAAACGTCATTCGCCACCGGAACGAGGTGCACCTCATGATGCGTCCCCATCGCTGCAGACTGTGCGGCAAAACCTTCAAGCGAACTGAGGGTCTACTCTATCACCAGCAA